TAGCAACATGGCAGTTTTAGAACGGGTGAAGTGAATGAACTCCATCATTAAAATAGAACAATATGATAATGTTAGTGTATGAGACACTTATTTAGAATCTACCAAAACCTGTTATTATTCAGTAGATGCTGTTTGTATATTGCTTCCCATGATAAAATGCCATACAGACTAAAATGCGGGAGTACTTTAAGAGCAGACTGTTATGTGCCACCTAGATTTAAGAGAAAATTTATTCATCACCAAATTTTTTTTCAGACTAAAAACATAAATAAATACACACCTAAAGAGGTAACAACCAAGCTTGTAAAGATAGGTTCTTATTTTAATTTGGAATAGTTTGCCTCTTAGAAAATTTGTCAACCAAAGCACACAAATTGAATCCTGTTTATTTTCTTGTAATTAAGTCAAGAGTGGACATTTTCTACATTATCCCTTAAGAAATAAACAATAAGGTAAGTTACTTTTTCCTTTTCTTACACTATTTATTTTCCCAATATGAAACTAATTAGTGAGCTCATTCTTTTAACAGCTGTCCCTGTTGTTCAGGATTTTCCTAAGAAGATGAGGGCCACTGGATGGAAAACAGAACTTGAAAAATCTAATAATAATAATAAAAACCCACAAAGCATGTCTGAGGAATTAAGTAAAAACAATAAATAAGTCATTTTACAAGAGTTCAGTGGTCTTGAACTTCCTATTCCACTTATCCACACTGAGGTTGTGTTGGCTGGTATCGGGGAAATCTTACCCTGAAACGGAAAAACATTAGCAATGAGTCAACCTCCAAGGGTTCACATCGAGTTTGAATAAGTATTCTGAGTTCAAACGTCTATTGGGATCTCAGTTCAACCTCTACCATCTACTAGTGCAGACCAAAAACTTCAAGAGAACTGGTTCTCTCCAGTATTGCTTCAGCATCTTCGGTTCCTATCAGAATGTTAATTTATAAATTCAGTTTAGTATATTTTCCATGCATGCTCAGTGGGTGTTCCTTCTTCACAGACTTAGTAAAGTTGAAAATATACACATGCAGAAGATATGTAGTAGTAGGAAAAAGGTGAAAATCTAATGCCGAAGAAGTAAAACTCAGCATTTCAGAGCCTGTGATTCTAAGTGAGTATGGGAAACAAATGAAAAGAGAAAAGGTTAAGACTTTACAAAATTCTGCAAAAATGCAGGACAGTAAGTAAAGACAGCGTTAAGTTAGCTAGTTACGTACATTAAATGTCACTTGGTAAGGTCTTTGTAAAAGTAATTCAAGCTATGAGATCTTTGGTTTGCGCTGCCAAGCATAATTTATTCATGATCTGTTCCTTATTAAATCAGAAAATGTCATATAACATATTATAGTAATTTTAAAAATGTGATATGGCATTGGGAATTCTGAACATCAATATTCTTATTACTAGTCTTTTAGTCTTTCCTCATACTACACAAGCCAAATCTTAAAGGAGGTTCAGTTTTACCCCAGAGTAATTCTCTAGCTATGACATCCTAAAATTTCATGCCGGTGTGTTAAGAGTTGAACAAATTAGGAAAATATGGGGAATAGAACTGGCTGTCTTGTAATTCTGTAATAAATTTTTATGATGTATTTTGTTACTTTGTTTGCAATTTGTAATAAAATATTTGATTGAGGGAATGATGATTAACAGGTGAGAAATATGATTAGATGGAAGATTGCTACAGATATTCATGAGATGCAAAAATATCATCACAAATATTACTTGTTAGTCACCAAGGGAAAAGGATACACTTTCATAGAGAAGGGATAAGGCTGTCACCCCATTAACTAAGAATCCAATGTTACCATCACCAGTAGTGCAGATATGTCTTATTGTGATGCAATATGAGGCACATGGAATCACCTACAAAGCATGACGTCACATCACACATGGCATCATCTACAAAGCATGACGTCACATCACACATGGCATCACCTACAAAGCATTATGTCACATCACACATGGCATCACCTACAAAGCATTACGTCACATCACACATGGCATCACCTACAAAGCATTACGTCACATCTCACATGGCACCATCTACAAAGCATGACGTCACATCACACATGGCATCACCTACAAAGCATGACGTCACATCACACATGGCACCATCTACAAAGCATTATGTCACATCACACATGGCATCACCTACAAAGCATGACGTCACATCACACATGGCATCACCTAAAAAGCATTACGTCACATCACACATGGCACTACCTACAAAGCACTATGTCACATCACACATGGCATCACCTACAAAGCATTATGTCACATCACACATGGCACTACCTACAAAGCATTATGTCACATCACACATGGCATCACCTACAAAGCATTACGTCACGTCACACATGGTGTCACCTACAAAGCACTATGTCACGTCACACATGGCACCACCTATGAAGCATTATGTCAAATCACACATGGCATCACCTACAAAGCATTACGTCACGTCACACATGGCACCACCTACAAGGCGTTACATCACATCACACATGGCACCACCTACAAAGCATTATGTCACATCACACATGGCATCACCTACAAAGCATTACGTCACATCTCACATGGCACCATCTACAAAGCATGACGTCACATCACACATGGCATCATCTACAAAGCATTACGTCACATCACACATGGCATCACCTACAAAGCATGACGTCACATCACACATGGCACCATCTACAAAGCATTATGTCACATCACACATGGCATCACCTACAAAGCATGACGTCACATCACACATGGCATCACCTACAAAGCATTACATCACATCACACATGGCACTACCTAGAAAGCATTATGTCACATCACACATGGTGTCACCTACAAAGCACTATGTCACATCACACATGGCATCACCTACAAAGCATTATGTCACATCACACATGGCACTACCTACAAAGCATTATGTCAAATCACACATGGCATCACCTACAAAGCATTACGTCACGTCACACATGGCATCACCTACAAAGCATTACGTCACATCACACATGGCATCACCTACAAAGCATTACGTCACATCACACATGGCATCACCTACAAAGCACTATGTCACGTCACACATGGCATCACCTACAAAGCATTACGTCACATCACACATGGCATCACCTACAAAGCATTACGTCACGTCACACATGGCATCACCTACAAAGCATTACGTCACATCACACATGGCATCACCTACAAAGCATGACGTCACATCACACATGGCATCACCTACAAAGCATGACGTCACATCACACACGGCATCACCTACAAAGCATGACGTCACATCACACACGGCATCGCCTACGAAGCACTATGTCACATCACACATGGCACCGCCTACAAAGCATTACGTCACATCACACATGGCATCACCTACAAAGCATTACATCACATCACACATGGCACCACCTACAAAGCATTATGTCACATCACACACGGCACCACCTACAAAGCATGATGTCACATCACACATGGCACCACCTACAAAGCATGACGTCACATCACACATGGCATCACCTACAAAGCATGACGTCACATCTCACATGGCACCATCTACAAAGCATGACGTCACATCACACATGGCACCACCTACAAAGCATTACGTCACATCTCACATGGCATCACTTACAAAGCATTACGTCACATCTCACATGGCATCACCTACAAAGCATGACATCACATCACACATGGCATCACCTACAAAGCATTACGTCACATCACACATGGCACCACCTACAAAGCATAACGTCACATCACACATGGCATCACCTACAAAGCATTACGTCACATCGCATTCCAGCACAACGTTTGTTCTGATTGTCTTCAAGACTTCTTTTGACTACTGAGAGAATTTCAAGATGGAGTGAGTACTAAAAGGTAAAAAAATGGAGTTTGTTAAGTGCAATAATGGTTTTTCCTTATACAGGAAAACATTATCCTTAAGGATTATAGGTAGTGATATGGTGTCTATTTAGGGCTCAAATGTCATGATGTCTATATTTACTCTAAATTATAACACAAAAACAGATTAAGTAATATAGTAATTGCCAGCTGTCAATTGTGATAAGGAAATTATTACTCAGGGTTCTCCAGAAAAACAGAGCCAAACAAACGAATGTATGTATATGTACATATACATACATACATGTAGACCGAGAAAGATTTATATTATAGGAGCTTTGTTTTGAAGAATGGCCTAAAATGATTATGGAGGCTGGCGAGCCCAACATAGGCAGTGCGGACCAGGGAGGGGCCGGTGTCGCAGGTGAAGTCTGAAGGCCATTGGCGGGGCAAAGCTCGGTCTCTGTTCATTTCAGGTTTTCAGATGATTGGACGAGGCCCACCCACATTATGGAGGACAATCTGCTTTACTCAAAGCTCGTAGATTTAAGTGTTACTCTCATCTGGAAACCTGCTTACAGAAACATCCAGAATGTTTGACCACATAGACCCTGTGACCCAGCCAAGTTCACACATAAAATTACCCATCATAATTGGTATATGAGACTTTATTATTTTTATACCATTCTGAAAGATTTAAACTCTTAAAAATTAATGTTTTTCAAAAACATTTAAAAGTGTATCTTACGGCCGGGCGCGGTGGCTCAAGCCTGTAATCCCAGCACTTTGGGAGGCCGAGGCAGGTGGATCACGAGGTCAAGAGATCGAGACCATCCTGGTCAACATGGTGAAACCCCATCTCGACTAAAAAAAAAATACAAAAAATTAGCTGGGCGTGGTGGCGCGTGCCTGTAATCCCAGCTACTCAGGAGGCTGAGGTGGGAGAATTGCCTGAACCCAGGAGGCGGAGGTTGCAGTGAGCCGAGATCGCACCATTGCACTCCAGCCTGGGTAACAAGAGCGAAACTCCGTCTCAAAAAAAAAAAAAAAAAAAGTATCTTGTCTTAATTTTTTATAAAATGATAGCAAATAAAATATGTTTACATTAGTTGTATGAAAATTTAAAACATGAATTCTGAGAATACAGAAAAGTTTATCAGTGCTCACTTTATCAACCCCAGTCAATGACACTTACACAAAGCTCTTCCCAGCATTATACAGAGAACAGAAAAGAAAAAGAAAAAAAATTGAAGTCTTTGATGTTTAAAGTAGGAAAACCAGATGTGAAAGGTTCAGTGGTTTAGGTTTCTGGTATATTTTATGCTGCATCTGTGGAGAAAAATGAAAAAGTTTTTCTAATCCCATAAAATCTTTCAAAGGAATTTTTAAAAAATTGCAAGTCCAAATCAATTACATCATTCAATGATATTTACATGGACACCTTTAAACGGGATTTGACATATCTCATGGTCTTATGGCTTGTAGTGTTGAGAAATATTCCATTTTAATCACTGGGTACACTTTAGCAATGCCAAAAGATTAATCAATGCATTTAGAATATTTGGGGAATAGCTGAGAGATGGTATGATTGCAGTAGAGATTTCTGACAGAGCTCAAGTTAGAAAAAAAAACAAGTAAAAATATGAGAGTATTATTTGTGATAACAACCAAAGCACTTAGTAAATAATTACAAAAAATTATGCCTAATTCAATGATTTAAATCAAAACAATAGGAATGCTGGAAAACTATGAATTGGAGTTAACTGTGCTCACAGAAGAAGTGTCATAGGTGGGAAAAAAGTGTCTTTCTGGGGCCACTGGGACAAGAATAGGAGGCAGACAGGGCACAGAGTAGCTTTTTCCCTCCACCTATCCTCCCCCCTTCCAGGCTACCTCTAGCACCACCTATTCTCAATGTCCAACAGGGAGAAACTGGGCAAAGCAGCGATATGATTTATAGACGTCCAGCCCCAGCATTTCACAAAGCAGTATTGAAGGCTGGGCTTGAAGCTTACTATGCAGCACACATGATATCAGATCATTGAGTATAACTAAGAATTTTAATCTTAAATAAAATCATGTCTTATAGAATACAGAAACACGATATATGAGATAAAGCTTTGGCCATGATTCCCTGTACTTTTCCCTCAGAGTGGAGGAAAAAAGAAATGGAAAAGAATAGATATGATAATGTATAGAAATTACAGTTTGAAGAGAATATTAGGGACCAAGCCGGCCACGATCTTGTATTCTAGGAAATGTAGATGTCTGATGAACACAAATGCCTTTGTGACCTTTAACATGGTATTTTATTGCTTATTAAACCTTCCTTTCAAAATATCAAGCACAGCTGAAAATATGATTATATAAACTAGGGATTAGAGTATGATCTAAAATTTCTGCAAGAACATTCCTTTTTTTCTTTTCTGTTTTTCTGAGATAGAGTCTCACCCTGTCACCCAGGCTGGAGTACAGTGGCACACTCATGGCTCACTGTAGAGTCAACTTGTCATCCCACCTCAGCCCCCCAGCTAGCTGGGACTACAGGTGCATGCCACCATGCTCGGCTAGTTTTTGTAATTTTTTTGGTAGTGATGGGGTTTTGCCATGTTGCCCAGGCTGGTCTTGAATTCTTGGGTTAAAGCAATACACCCAACTCAGCCTCCCACAGTACTGGAATTACAAGCATGAGTCACTGTGTCTGGCCACATTTCTTATTTTATACTAAAAATAGAATTATATTACATTGATTATTTTAATAAAAAATAGTTCTCACCATCTATAAGGTGTTACATATTTAATGTGTGACTTGATTAACAACAGCAACAGCCATGTACCCCAAGGATACATAGTTTAATGTCATGACAGCAAATGATTTATACATATATCACTTAAATATATAGATAAGTGATGTTGGCTTTGTTAATGTAGTCATGCATTGCTTAACAACAGGGATATGTTCTCCAAAATGTGCTGCTGGGTAATTTTGTTGTGCAAACATCGTAGAATGTACTTACATAAACCTAACTGAAATAGCCTAGTATACATATAGGCTATGTGGTTTAACTTACTTCTCCCAGGCTACAAGCCTATATAGCATGTTGCTACACTGAGTACTCTAGGCAATTGTAACACAATGGTGAGTTTGTGTGTCCAAACATAAAAAGTACAGTAAAAATACAGTATAAAAGACAAAAATGATACTCCTGTGTAAGGTACTTACTATGCACAGAGCTCGAAGGACAGAAAGTTGTTCTGGGCGAGTCAATGGAAGAATGTGAAGGTCTAGGCATTACTCCGTGCCACTCTAGACTTATAAACACTGTGGACTTAGGTTATACTAAATTAAATTTTTAAAAGTTTCTTTAATAATTAGTTTTAGCTTAGTGTACTACTTTTTACTTTATAAACTTCTTATTGTTTTTAACTTTTTCATTCTTTTGTAATAACATTGCCTTAAAACAAAACACATTATACAGTTGTACAACAAGAATATTTTCTTTCTTAATATTCTTATATTATAATCTTTTTTTCTATTTTTAAAATTATTGATATTTTTACTTCTTAATTTTTTTTTTTTTAACTAAGACTTGCACACATTAGCCTAGGCCTGCATGGGGTCAGAAGCGTCAATATCACTCTCTTCCACTTTTATATTTTGTGACACCACACATGAAGATGTCATCTTTTATGATAATAAAGTCATTTTCTGGAATACATTCTGAAGGACCTGCCTGAGGCTGTTTTACTGCTACTTTTTTCATAAGTATTATCGAGGGAGTGATAAAAATAAAAATGAAACCTACTAAGTTTAGAAAAACAATAATATCAGAAGTATATTTTAGTAAATGCATAAACCAGTAACATGGTCCTTAATTATCAAGTATTAGTTACTCTCCATAACAGTATGTGATGTGCTTTCATGTGCCTGGTAGCACAGCAGGTTGTTTACATCAGCATCACCGTAAACATTTGTGTAACAAGTTTTGCTAAGGCATTAAGGCAGCTACAATGCCACTAGGCAATAGAAATTTTTCAGTTCATTATCATCTGAGACCACTGTTATACATGTAGTCTGTCATTGACTGAAATGCTGTTATAGAGTATATGACTGTATAAATAATAATATATCCATAGACTCATAGAGACTTGCATCTATCAATATAATCATATGTGAAATTATTTGCATTGAAGCTGAACAATAGAGCAGAAAAATCAAAAGAGAGTGGATCTGGTGACTGCCATCGTGGGTAGCCCTTTAATCTGTGAAGGCTTTGGCAAGTTAACCTGACTTTTTCAGCATTTTGTCATCTTCCAAGTGGTGGTAATGCTCAGTCAGTGAAGGGAACTGGTGCGCCAATTCCAGCTCTGTGCCAGACACTGTATTTTAATAAATATTCACAGCATCTTCATGGTATCATCATCCTCGTGTAACAGAAAAGAAAACTCAACTTCAAAAGGAATAGGAAAAGGAAAGATCAAACTCACCAAGCTGAGTGATACTCAACACTTGAGCCAGCTGTTCCCTCTCCAATCTAGGATAAAACAATGTATGATTACACAGCAATCTGTGAAGTGGTGTGTAAATGTATCAATTCAAGGTAATTTCTCTTTCAGCTTTCATCATTTTAAACCAAGAGATATATTTTTAAAAATCTCCCATCAAGCTTGAGGGCAGCAAATCTTAACACAAAAATTAATCCTCTAAGAGGAAGAATTGGGTTGTCCTTTGCACCTCCAGCTGAGTTTCCTACGATTTATTTTTTGACATGGGTTGAATTATCCTAACAATCACTCAGGTTTTCACTTATTGAATGTTTTGTGTGAAAAGAAAACACAATATTCATTAAGATAACTTCAAAGTGTGTTTCATTCCTTTGAGAAATGAGAAAACCTCATTCTTTCAATATAACCATGGTCACAACATGTATTTGAAAGTATTTTTCTTTCCACAGGTAATTTTCTTCTCCAATTCCATTTTTAAAACATACTTTCTTTTTTCTGCGACCAAATTCACATCATATTTCATTTAATTTCTTCTTTATCTGAATGCCGTCAATATTTAAATTTGTGGCAAATAAATGTGTGTGTGTGTGTGTGTGTGTGTGTGTTCATTCCCTCTAAGGTAATGATTACTAATCATTAGAACACTCAATATTTGGTGGTAACACTTAAGTGTTGTTTCATATCGTTACCTGGTATTTTAAGTGTATTATTATTGCTTTTCAAATTAGGTTATAAATTCCTCGAAATAAGCCCGATTTTCATTATTATCTCAAAAGCTTTTAGCAACACTTGTCCTATTGCAGTTGCTTAGGAAATTCAGTTAGTGTCATTACTTCAGCCAGATTTTATTATAATGGTTCTTTAAATTCACCAACACACTGATAGAGACTCAGCTTCAATCTCTATTAATAACCTTATTTTAAAAGCTGCAAATAATATTTAATGGGTTGAAGAAAGGGATGTATGAGAAATAATGAAATAATGTCTTCAATTTTTTTATTGAGTCTCTTTAATTATTTCAATGAAAACATTTAAATGCTGTACATTAGTTATTTATGAAAAGGAGTAAGTGAAAAACAAGTTATTGCAGAAAAAATGATTCTCCCTTGGAACCACAGCGCACAAGGCAACCGGAAGTCATGATTCTCCCTTGGAACCACAGCGCACAAGGCAACCGGAAGTCATGATTCTCCCTTGGAACCACAGCGCACAAGGCAACCGGAAGTCATGATTCTCCCTTGGAACCACAGCGCACAAGGCAACCGGAAGTCATGATTCTCCCTTGGAACCACAGCGCACAAGGCAACCGGAAGTCATGATTCCCTGGATGGGTATGAATAACTTGATATAACTTTTTCTCTTCCTCTTCCACAGTTGTCCCACTGAGGACATTCCCCTACATCACGTATTAGCCTAGGCCTACACAGGGTCAGAACCGTCAATATCCCTGTCTGTTGGTACCAAGCAAAGAGCAGGGTAAAGTTTCTGTTGTAGAAAGGTAGACTGTGCAAGTGTAAACTTGGGACTTTCCTCTAATCTGGCAAAATGCAGGTCAATAAATCTGAACTGCATCTGAGACTGGGCTCTTAGCATAGCCATTGTTAGGACCAGGTCCAAACCAGCTTTATCCTTCTGTAAGTGTGCTGACCTGAGTAAATTCAATCAAAAGGCTTTATTCAGTTCCAGGTAAAAAAAAAATCTCTTAAAAAAGAAAAAGAATCTCTTTTAATGCATCTGCACTGACATTATCAGGTCTATCAGGAGAAAAGGAATTGTTAGAATAGATCGTGATCCTGATACAACATTTTTAGAATCAGCTTATTCAGGTAAAAGGTAGGGCATTTTACAGGGCAAACTGTAAAAGAAATTGCAGTCATTGCCCCGTTAAACCTTGGAAGAAATGAAGAATTTCAGTCTTTGGTGCTGTCAAACTGACACCATTCATCATCCTGGAATTGGCTCTTGGCTTTAAAATAAATAAAACAAACCAGAGATCCTCTTCAGAGCCCCATAATAAAGGCAACTCTCTACTGTAGCTCATCTTGATTTTGGAGTTGATAGCAAAAAAAAAAAAAAAAAAAAAAAAAAGAAGATTTTAAGTCCTTAATACTTCCAAGACTGAAGCCCACACTGGAGCCAAACAATCTCAAGACGTTACTGAACGAGGTATTGATTGCAAACAGGGGGACAGTTTGTTATTTGATTTTTCAATTTCCAAGGAATGAGGTGAAATTCACATCTCTCCAGAAGAAAGCATGCTGTGGTTCCTGGAAGCAAGAGTTTACGTGACTTGAGTTCATTTGAAGATAATAATTTATATTGGCATGAATAAATAATAGCAGGGAGTTCTAACTGTCCAAACACAATATATAATACCCTGAGAAAAAATGTGGACAACGTTGTAATGTCTTCTATATTTCACGTTACGAGAAGCTGTAAGAACTAAATCATTTTAAAATCACCTACCTCCTCAGGTTTTTAAGTCTCATCTGTCAAATAGCATCCTCGCATCAGCTTGAGATACAGGGGCTGCCTGCGTTGTAATTAGCTGTCTACTCTCTAAGCTTGCCTGAAGAACTTGAAGGTAAATGACTTACAAAGAATATCAGAATGATGTTGTGCCCTTTATCAAGTCTCTCTTCATAAGAAAATAATAAATAGCCAGTGAGATTTTAGAAAACCATAGACCAACTTATTTGGTGTGGGAGGGAAAATTTCTGCTAACTTGTAGACAGAAAGTTCCCTGGCTGTTACCAAGTAAGCCCTGCCCACTGCTTCTGGTACATAGATCTCTGAAATGAGTACATTTGCAGGCTTTGTTTCCTTTTCTTAAAATTCAGTCTCAAACGAACCCACTCCTCTGAATTAACATAATGGCACTTGAGTTTTGGGTGCTGTCTCCCCTGAGTTTCTTTTTCTACAGATCAGACTTTTGCATGTCAGGGTTTATTAAGCACATTTATGTATTAAATCTAGAATTAAAGATTTAAATTCTAATGAATACACTTTAATTCTAAGGTCGAAGGATACCTGAACTGGAGAGTGATTAAAGGTGGCTTTTATTTCAGTAAATGAGTAAACAAAAGAGGTCATGGCCCAAAAGAAAGTGTATGGGGCTGGAGGGAGGAAGTGTTAGCGCTGGTTTCTTACGCCTCATGTTAGCGGTGGGGACTAAGAACAGCCATTTGATTGAGCCTCAATTTTCTTATCTAGAAAGTAAGAATGATGAGCTGAGACATGAAAATTCTGAGATGAACTAAGGGTCCATACTTAGCTGTTTTAGATTTTACTATTATAAAGGAAGAACCGTAGATTGACTTTCCTTATGTAATGCTTTTGTAAAGGAGGAACAGTAAATTGACTTTCCTTATGTAATGCTCTCAGTAGAGGCATTTGTGAGTAACGGAACTTTACCATAACCTGCTCCCACCTTTTCACAGATGACTTCATCTACACTCGCGGGCTTTCAGAAATCTATTCTTACTACTGAGAGCTAAAACCCTACTTGGAACTGCAATGTGAGAATTCACTGCATTAATGAAGATGTGATTGATATTCACCATGATTTCCAGAGTTAGGATGTCAGTATATTGCTTACCATATATGAGTGTATGAAAAGTTTTATTCCACATGTTACGCAGTATATCTATTGCTGTTCATATGTTGTGGCTGGCTGAAAAATGACCTCTCAAAAGATAGCCATGGGAACCTGTGAATGTTAACGTATAAAAACGGGTCTTTGCAGATGAAATTAAGTTAAAGATTTTGAGATGTGGAGATCATCCCAGGGTATCAAGGTGGATCCTAAATGTATCTTTATGAGAGGGAGGCGGACGGAAATTTTACACAGAGAGAAGAGGATGAAGCAATGTAATTACAGAGGCAGAGATGGGAGTGACGTGGCCACAAGCCAAGGGCTGGGGGCAGCAACCAGAAGCCAGGAAAGGCAAAGGATGAATTTTTCCTAGAGCCTCCAGAGGAAGTGCAACCTTGACACCCGATTTCAGCTCAGTGAGACTAACTTTGGTCTTCTGGCCTCCAGAACTGTGAGGAAATGCATTTTTATTGCTTTAAGTCACCAGGATAGCAATAATTTTTTACAGCAGCTGCAGGAAATGACTATATAGTCTCACTACCAAAGAGCATGGATAATGCAAGTCTTGGTTGCCAGAGGTGTGCTAAATAGCTGGGCTATAGGCACCGCTGTTTCTAATTTGCTTCCATTTGGCATCTTTCTGTAGATTCCACAGTTAATGAGAACTGTTTTTAGAGTTTCATCCTAGGAAAATTTTGTGTACACGAGGGTATGAAGAGACACTTACTTTTGATAAATGGAGATTATATAACTGAATTTTTCTTGAGTGCTTTGTTCTCCAGGAAGCTGAATGTGAAATGTTAAGATTATCTCTCTGTCATCTGTGCTCCGTAGATAGCTGCTTTCCTTTTCTATCGTGTAGAAATCCTCTATATTTCCTTGGCTCAAACCCATATTTCTATTTCAAGGTCAAAGTGTCTTGTGAAAGTTATCTTAAACCTCTTTACAGAACAAGGAAGTAAATGCACGTTAAGTCAGGTAAGTACAGCTGGGAAAAAAATGTGATTTGCGGTCCATAGTTCTTCTCCATTCCCATCTTGAGCCAGCCCCAGATACAGGTGCCTGCAGGAAGGAAGCGGCTATCTGTGTTCACCATCACACCACATGCCCTTGGTCACACAGCTAACAAGCTGCCTCCCTCCCTCCGTATACCAGCTGCTGTTTCTTATCCTGAAGGCTCAAAGGAGGAGAAAAAACAAAGGAAGGTGACAGACTTGGAGAGTTTTGATTTCAAACTGTACCCTCATTAGCCGGGTCTGTGCTCTCTGGGTCTAGCAGGTGATTCTTTCTTTCATAGTTCCCTTTCCTGGGCTCTTGGAGATACTCATGCCCTCCTTTGGTTCCCTTGAGACCAGCAGATAAACCATTAATCTCTCTTTTGGTGGAGTCGTGAAGAGTAAGACTAAGGCTCTTTCCACAGGTTCTAGGCATTCAG